AAAAAATCTTTATTCTCATCGCCAGCAACCACATAGTTGATTATGAGTGGTACACGCCTAGTTTTGAGATCAATCATACTGATTTACGTGGAATGCAATGAATGAATCAGTTTAAGATGTGACTCAATTAATGGTTTATTATATTGTATCATCAAATCACAGAAGATGTGTACAATAGGTACCCATATTAAGTTGTGTAATTTTATTTAAATGTTATAGCAGCATAATTGAGCGGAGTGACACATGGATTATTACTGTTTTGGTATATGAATAGGCGATTGCTCAAGGAATTGCTGTTGTTGGTTTTGTTGCCATGCTTATTCTTTCTTTTCATCGTCACCTCCCTCTTCCTTCTTACTACTCTGGAATGGAGTATCGGTTAATTAAAGAGTTCTTGGAGGAACGTTTATCTGGCTAGCAGCGGCCTGACTGAGGTCGATTCAGAACACTGCACAGTATTTTGGCCATACTTGCAGCTGTGTGCATAAGCTATGGATGGTTTTGATTAGGGAAAATATTTGATTATCGCAGAGTGATTATGCTGGAAGTGATTTTGAACAAGGACTGAGCTTTATCATGAGCCTTTCAGTTGGCCATACGACTACTCGAATCATACCTCTCCTTCATCTTCTTTCTTATCGGTCTTCTCTTCCTTTTTATCATCCTTTTTCTCGTCATCCTTCTTCTCCTCCTCCTTTTTGGCACTTTCCTTTTTCTCATCTTTCTTTTCCTCTTTGTTTTCCTCTTTATTTTCCTCCTTCTTTGCCTCTTCCTCATCAACTTGTGTCTACAAATGAAACGCAAGCAACCGATTAAGGAAGATCACATAAGATCACATATGGATGATCACATTGTTAGAATGGATAAAAGCTTTCAATTAACTATCATTATCCGTTATTAAACCTATTAATATGATTGATGCTGTGATCAAGCAATGGCTCATTAAACTCGCCTGTTTCGATGCCATATCTTCAGACTTCTTGGAAATCTGAAACATCATTGCACATCAGCAAAACCAATCAAATCAGAACAATTCGATGGAAAAGTGATGTTCTACCAGTGCTAAACTGATCAAACATGCTTAGTTTTGCAAAATAACTCTGTAAAACTATAATGTTCCAATCGAGCTTAGCTGTGCTCGTTCTTTTATTATCGAAGGATGAATCAAGGGTATTCGTAACGTTCAAATATCAGACAACAATTACCAGTGAATGAAACCTGCTATTTGAACGCTGTATGAAGTACGTAACAGAACTCAGGTGATAATAGCTTCTTATTGGATACCTTTTTAGATCCCTCCTTCTTCGATCCCTCCTTCTTCGATCCCTCCTTCTTTGAGCCTTCCTTCTTAGATCCTTCTTTCTTGGAACCCTCCTTCTTAGATCCTTCCTTCTTGGAGCCCTCCTTCTTGGAACCCTCTTTCTTCGATCCTTCCTTCTTGGATCCTTCTTTCTTGGAACCCTCCTTCTTCGATCCTTCCTTCTTGGAGCCCTCTTTCTTGGAACCCTCTTTCTTCGAGCCTTCCTTTTTGGATTCATCTTTCTTCTTCGAACCTTTAGAGCCCTCTTTCTTCTCGTCATCCTGAATGAATGTTAAATATACTATAGCTGATTTGTCTATAAGCAAGGGTTATTGTGAGCATTGCGTTGAGCTGTGCTACTAATTTATCATGATAATGATTTGACGATGCAAGCATTTCCTACCTCCTTCTTTTCTCCTTCTTCCTCCTTCTTATCGCCCTCTTCCTTCTTGCCACTCTCCTTCTTATCACCGCCTTCCTTGTCCTCTCCCTCTTCCTTCTTATCACCACCTTCCTCTTTCTTGTCCTCACCCTCCTTCTTTTCACTCTCTTTCTTTTCTCCTTCCTCCTTCTTATCACTTTCCTTCTTTTCCTCTCCCTCCTTCTTTTCCTCTCCTTCTTTCTTCTCCTCTCCCTCTTTCTTTTCCTCTCCCTCCTTCTTTTCCTCTCCCTCCTTCTTTTCCTCCCCTTCTTTCTTCTCACCTTCTCCCTCCTTCTTTTCCTCTCCCTCTTTCTTCTCGCCTTCCTTCTTCTCACCTCCTTCCTCTTTCTTCTCTCCCGCTGCTGCAGCACCTCCTGCAGGTTGTCCTTCATCCTCGAGAGGTTGTGTTTTCTGTTCATCTTCAGGTCGCAATGGCTGCACGGCCAATCCTGGTGCGGGTGCTGCTTTCGTTGCTCTACAATATCCGAACATTCAATCCAAGCAACATTCATTTATCCATTAACTCTCAAATGAATAGTTTGCAATAGGCAACGGATCGGTCTTCGAAAGGAAAACGATTTTGTTCTTACTTAAGTTTTGAAGTATCTGAGCGAAAGTGGTTTATTGCTGAAGAAAGACAGAAGAAATGAAGCACTCACGCTTTTTTTGCTCCACATTGAAAGAGTGCTATCAATGAAATGGTTGACAAGAGGATCGCTCCGGCCACAGGCCAAGCAATCATAATGAGCATACTGTCGAGCATAGTAGATTGTTGATATTGAGTGAGTGATATCGTTCAAATCATTCACCACCTAATCGATTCCTCACGATACTTTCCACTCACCGAGTTATTTACACAAACGGATACCCCGTTACACAAACGTACAATGGTTCGTCTCTGTCCGAGGCTATCTTATATAATTATTAAGAAATTTCGTATGCAAATTGCATGAAAATTCATCATCAGCATAGAACCGGTCAAAATGTAAATTTGTGAAGGTTTGCATAGTATGTTGGTATAACTTTGGATAAGTTAGCCGTTCGGAGAATTGCGCACAATTAATACTTTGGTGAGTTGGTTAATTGTTGATGCGAGCATCTTATGAACTGTAGCTGAGAAAATTATTTGGCTTCAACCATACAATTATGCAAAATCATAACGTTTCGATTATAGCAGTGATAATTTTGAATATCCTTTTCCGAAACTAATGAATTCTCTGGATCCGACAGTATCAAAACATTTGCGTGTTACTGACATGAGCAAAGCTAAGAACACAACTATTTTGGAGATGTTACTTATGGAAAATATAGATTCCGGCGGCATAATGAAATCGCTCAGTCATTTGACATCCGTCAGAAATTCAATTAGATGAAAATATGCAAAATCAGCCAGGAACATATATACTTCTCTGAAACATATGCCTAAATTTCCTCAGGGTATATTCTCAAGCTGAAAAATTTCATTGCACTCACACTACTGCATTCGTACGAGCGACATCATTTTCAAACTATCTACAGAACGAAAGTTCTTCACATAACTGGATGGAGGTATGGCTATTTGCATAAAGCTCAATCAGCAACAAGCGCAAAGGCGATTATTCATATACACTCTATCGCTATAGATCAATTGTATACATTACTATAGCGGCATACGCGTTTCAACCTTCAAGGCAACGGTACTCTCAGGTTTGCCCGATAACGTATGAATTTCTCTGCATCATTCGATAGCTGAGAATCTCTGCTTTCAGAATATTGTGCATTTCGCCGAGCAATAATGATTAGTTGAGGAGATGTAGCTATCTTTGCAATGCTACATAGGTAGCCATCTTCGAGCCTACCGTTCCCTCAAGTTTACGCGACAACATATGAATATTTGTACAGCAATCAATCCAGCGTAAACTCTAAATTCAGAAAAACATATACTTAGCCGAGCGATTTTGCTTTTTTAAGGAGATGTAGCTATTTTTCTAAAGCCACCTCAATTGGCGCAGAGGCACTCATTCAAATATATTCTATCACTATAGATCAATTGTACACATTACTATAGCGCCATACGCGTTTCGACCTTCAAGGTATCAGTACACTCAGGTTTGCCCGGTAACATATAAATTTCTTTGCAGCATTCGATTGCTCAGAATCTCTGCTTTCAGAAAAACATATATCTTGCCGAGCAATAATGACTAGTTGAGGATATATAGCTATTTTCTCAATGATATACGGTTTGCCATATTCGAGCCTACCGTACCC